GGCCACGGAGAGGACATGCTGAGCCAGGCCGAGCCGTGCCGACCCAAGTGAATCAAGTAACAAGCGCGCGGAAATCAAGGCTCGCATCTCATGGCTTGTCGTCCTCGCTCAATCTCTTCTGCGATACTCTTGTCGTAGAGCTCTGAGGGACACCCTCCGGACCTGTCGGAAGTGAAGTCCAACAGCAGGACAATGTCCAGCTGTGTAAAGAGCAGCCAGGAATGAGCAGGAAGAGGAATGTGCGCTCAGAGGAAGTGAGCGAGCACGAAGAACAAAATAACATGCAATCATCAGTCAGTCCGCAGCAATTATATTAGGACTGAGGCGACTGCACCCAGCCAGCCGGCCGGCCAGCCGGCCAGTCACCCATCCGACGCCTCCTCCTCCTAAGTTTCTTCCTCTAGATAGCTCGACACAAGAGTTCATGAATGAAGACCAAAGACTGAAAGTTGCTCTTGTTAGCCTGAGCATTCAACGAAAGGACAGCGAAGAAAACCGCTCAGGGCCACCAGGGCTGACGGACCATCTCTTCTCTTCAATCAACAAACATCCTACCCATGAAAAAAATATTTTTTGATATCAACACCGATGGGATCCTGATCTATCTGGTGACACGTCCCTTTATGAAAGTGAACTCCCACGCAGGGTTTTTTTTTCAGGAATTGGACTAGAAGTTAGGAACCATCGGTGGCAAAGGCAATAGTTCCATCAGGAAAACAAAAATATTTCTTAGAGAGCGTATAAAAACACTTCCATTAGACACCCCTGCCAGAACAATAAAAGATAGAGACAGTAATGTTTGGGATAGACATTTTATTTCCTTGATAAGGCCCCTTGCCGCTCGAAAGACACCGTTCCGTCGCCCCCCCCCCCATCTCATGCTGGGTGTGAGATTTCAAACAAACAGCATGCAGCAAAGTGTAAATATATAAATAAACCAAAAATAGAGTCACAGCCCCACTCGGTCTTCAACCAACTCGATTCAAGGGATTTCGGCCAGTGAAATGCTTCAGTGGCTCCAAATCATCAATATGAAGGAGGCCACAAAAAGGAAAAAATGCCAAAAAGAAAAGAATGGTCAGTAGGTCCAGCACAATGAACCAAACTGAAGTGCTGTATATCTAACGAGACGCCGAGATGAAAAGAAGAACTGAGAAAGAGGAAAAGAACATCATAAATTCAAATAAAAGCACGGAAAATCAAGAGCGAGGTCCGATGAAGAATAAAATGGTAAAATAAACCATTAAAAAGAAAAACTCACAGAGCAGGAACTATGCAGCTGTGGCGACATTGTGCCCTCTGCACATGATTGAAGTGTGGCGATCCACGACAGCATATCAGCTTCACTGAAAAAAATAAAACTATAGGCGTTTTCTCCCAGACGTTCCAATACAACTCTCGATCTTTCCAATTTAGGCCACGCCCACTGAATCGAAAATAGAACAAATTCGTGGTAAGTCACTCGTGTAAACTTCTGGTGATTCAGCAGCGAGTCAACAAACAAAAATACATCATTAAAAATGACTTCTGTCAGACAAGCAGAAATAAATGGGTCCTGACACGAATGACACTGAACTGCCGTATTCTTGCGACATAGCTCTACAACTAACCTTCACAAGAAACCAGCAAATAAACGAGACATATTTCAAGCGCTCAGTTTACCGTCGTAAATTAATTAGTTTTGCTGTGGGCAGCAGTAGGACAACTGTCACAGCCAACGAAAACCCACAACACCGACAACTGTCAAAAATGCAGTTTGAACTTATTCTAGTACACGTCAATTACTAAACAAGTACCCGTCATCAAATTCCTGTCATCAAATTTGACGACAAATCTTTCGACAGCTGATCAGCGCAATATTCTCTGGAGCCACTCAAAAATTATATGAATGGCCTCAGCTGATCTCGGCGTAGACGCGGAAAAGGCGTTGCAAGGCTATTTTTACCCGTCGTACTCGCGACACATTTTCAATGGGACAGCTCACGTCATAGCACTCCCGTGGCCGCAATTACCTTGGCAAATGGTTACTTGCGGCGAGCTTTGTCAAAACAGCTCACCTCCCTCTATGCTGCCATTAGACCACTCAGCACTTACCTGAAAAAATAGCCCGCCAAAGGGAATACGCCAATGGTACACCTGTTATTTTCCCACCTCATTCCGCAGGTACGATTTATGTTGAATATAGGGAAGGAACATCCCTTTACGCCATATCTAGAGCATTTGACATTTTGATTCTCTTAGTTATAATACGAGGAGCTAAAAGGCTCAGAGCAAAGAGACTCCAATGTATAGCTCACTGCACTCTCGCTAAATGCTTCCACCGTGTAGTCATGGAGTACGTGTGCTGTGCAACGGCGCTGCAAGGCCTAGAACAAGAAACTCGTGCTGTCACAGAGCGGGCGGCGGCTAACTCAAAGGGTGGCGGAGCTTCTCATGGGCGAATTTACACCCCAGTTAGTGTATGCAATCGCGCTGAACCTAGCGTATGTTTCGGGCAAGTCACTTACAAGTTAGTTGGTCGACTACCCAAACATCAAAATAGAGACTGGAAATAATGGAATAGTAGCGACTCTAGTCACATATTTATATTTTATTGTGAGAGCCCTGGAATGACAAATTTCTGGAAGACACTTGACCAGCCTGACCCCTTTAGGACTGGTTGTTCGAGTCTATCGAGAGTGCCCCGTTTCTAGAACGGGTCACAACAATTAATAATGATTCCGTATCAAATAGGTTGGGTAAAATTCGGGAGGATAAAAAAAACCATGGAGGAAAATTATATTCACACTGTGAAGAAGTAATTACAAGCTCCGATATCACCGCTGCAATGCTCATCCAGACGATTGGAAGAACACGCTATCTGCTCATGTTAGATAACAATCGATAAGAGGGGCGTACAGAATAATCCGAATCACTGCTATGAGCGAAAAATTGCACTCCACGTTCACAGAAGATGCATACGACCGCCGGCGTGGCGCTGTTAAAGGCCGTGTCTTATGATGGGCCGTTGGAACATATGTTCGCGGGTTTACAATGAGCGATCGTTGACCACGCCGATTTAGTGGAAGGGCGTTAAAGGGCCTGCTCAACCAGATACCCTCCCCTACCCCCCCCCTGCCGAAGTCCCCGTTCGGGGGTTCCATCTCCTCAGATGACGTCGATTAAGTCCATCGGAACCACAGCCGCCCCGTTCATGCCATGCGTGGATCCCTGCCCTAAATGGGTGATTAGAAGCGAGCAAGGTCGGGAGCTCGATGGGATCTGGCCGCGGAGTACTCAGAACCTAAACTGAGTCTGAGTCGAAGATGTGAGCGCGCCGGCTTATTCCCAACAGGTCTGCGTAAATCGGAGCTGGCCGCTCACGAGACTTTCGACTTTTTTAGCCTTGCAGGATTACAAATACAGCCAAACTTCAAGCAAATCTCACGGTTGACTAGATCGTCATTCAAACAACTAGGAGCAAGCGACTAAAAAGATAAAAGCTTCACAAATTTTTAGGGTACGCACAGTAATCATGAAGCCACGAAGAAGCAGATTTGGCTTTCACAGTGACCACACATCAGCCGGTATTCAGGAATTCAAGCCTCACCGACAAGTCTATGTCCCATAAAAAGAAAGACCATAACGGCTTGAACAGGAACCACAGAATTGCGAGGCGACTAACCCAGCAATCACTCTACATTTGGCCATATAAAGAGCGAAAAAGACTCGGAGAGATCAAAAAAGAAACCAGTGCCCTATTCCTGTCACCGGAGGCTAATGGCTACTGCCAGCCGGCAGCTTTCACGGTTGGTGCCGTAATTATCGTTCGCCACTAATGAAAGGGACGCCTTTGACGTTTACTATAGGTAATTAATTCGGAAACTACTCACAACAGGTGGCCTTCACGAAACGCACCACTGAACTACAACTGAGTGGGTGGGTGGTGAAATGAATGATTACGGTGGAACTGCTATTTCCACGAATTTTGCGTGAGAAGGGAATAAGCGAAGCAAGAGCAGAAGAAGAGAAAGCGAGGCGGAGGAACGAGGGGGTGTGGATGGGGTGAGACAGCGAGTGCAAGGGCTTAAAATGGAATCATACTAATTCCATTTGCAAAAGATGACGACTCTTAGTAATCCTTAGAAGTGAAAACATAAACTTTGAGGATCACTTTTCACTGACAGTCGCTTTTGTAACGCGGACAACTGTCAAGTAGACAGCGATAACTTTCACAAACTCACTAGAGCCTAGAGTAATGTTTTTTTTTCAATTTTTATTAGTCACGTTACCAGCTATTTCGGAAAACCATCACAACAAAAGTAAAAATGCGTAACGTGTAAATGTTTTATCTCGATTCGGAGCTCAACTCTGTTAGTTTTAGGTTGAACTTCCAGTTCGGGGGGGGGGGGGGCACTCCATTGCTATCTTATCCGTAGTACTAGAGAGCAGTTCTTTGGGCTATCGAACACTACGGATAAGATAATAAGTGAACGACTCATTTCGAGCGTACTTTTGATAAGGACCGGTGGATGTCCTACATTCCACACTACCTGCCCACATCCCATCCACTTTTCTGCACAGGTCATCCACCCTGGAGCTCCTCCACCCTTAGCCTAGGCAGAGGTGTCCATTCTCCTGGTCCAGGACCGTTCCCTTGGACCATGGCAGGCGGAAATGTGAAAACATCTCAGGGTTTCTTCCACATTACACCGATACTTATCAGAAGTCTACTTTAAATGAGTCGATTACGTGTCGTGAGCCCTCTAATCCTTATCTTGAGTATTGGAGAAAAAATGGAGTGCCCCCCCCGAACTGGAATTTCACCGTTGTAAGAATACTGTAAGTGAAAGCGAGAATCAGACTACCAGATTCACTATACAGCTCTGCCAAATGAGAAAGTTATGAAAATGCTGGAGAAGCGTAGGTTTGCGTTGGCGCTGGCATAGCCCAGATTTTCCGATGCAGCTAGTAACTGTTGAGGATTGTTCTGATGACCAAATTCAAATCGTTGAACTAACTCAATAAATCGAATCGAACCTGTTCAATTTCGAAGAGAGTGCTCGCTCGAGTTCTGAGATGACCATTCGGGTCATGACGTGCTTTGTTCGGCTCATCGCCAGCCACTCGTACGCGATGTCGATGATCGACGAATGCACGTCAACACGAGCACATGGTGGGAGATGGATGAGCTGAAAAGAATGGGATAGGTCTCGCGTGGAACTGACTTCAGGGGCAGGAAAAATTTGCAAAATGCCTTTTAGTAATGCAGGAAATTTTCTGCAGATCAAAATAAACTGAGAAGTATGAGAAGTAACCATCCGACACCCTGTGGATTCACAACACTTCTCGCGCTCTTTTTAGGGCTCTTTATAGTCAGCCCAGAAACTGGGAAAACAATTTGTGAAGGAAAAAATTATGAGATCATGAAAGCTACTGTACAAAGCATTCACTATGAACAAAGCAATCCATGCCTTTTATGCCATGACTGGAAGGCCGCGCTCGAAGGGTGGCGCCAGTGGACTTTCTACGGAAGCAAGTGATTGCAAGGTAAAGCACTGTAGGAGGCAAGTTGAGATTTATCAGACAGATACCAAGTAGTCATGTAGCGGGCCGCCCGCAACTGCAAGCGCATCAGTGGTAATGCACATCATGAGCGAGCATACCTATCATCTCCGATCTGATCCACTTGCTTCATACCTTTCCGCTGCTTTTCAGTAAAGATATAAAATACTATTCCACCAGTGTTTCCTACACCAGAATACAGTGTGAATAGTAGCGCAAAAAACTAGTTATAAAAATTCGAGATTTAAAGGCAGATTCAAAAGTGGCGGCAAATCTTGAGAAATCTGTGATCTTCTCCTTTCTCTGTAACGAATTTTACTGAACTATGACAATAGGGCTTATCTAGAAAATTTCATGATTTTACCGTCCATAGAAAATAACCTTTTCTAGACCAACCTTCTCGCCGCTCTTCTCTGCGATGGAAGTCCGCGGTTCCTGTGGACACAGATAAAGGCTCTGATCGATCAGAACCGCCCAACACTCTTCCCAAAAACGTCGCTTGCCGGTTTTACCCAGTGCTAGCTCCTGAAAATAAAATCTCAATGCCGGCGTCAATGCCAACAAAAGATAGCATCTTTATAGCCAGGCCTCAAGGTACCCTAACATTCAAGTACAACATTCAGCACCCCCCCCCCCCCCAGCCAAGTTCAGTGTCAATTCAAAGCCTCTGGCTGACAGATGACTCTAGCTTCTCGTTTTTATCTTGGCCCATCTGCAAGCCAACATTTTTACCTTTGGGAACGATAGCCCTGTACCAGTGACGTGACCACGAAGAGAACACGTGGCTGACCTGGGCAAGACTCAGGCCAGGTTTGCTTCCCGACTATGCGAGGGTTACCACCACTACCTCCCGTCGAAGAAACTGTGATAGAAGGGCATCTTCACCCTGAAGGTGAAGTGAATGAAAAGCGAATGAAAAGCGATAGGGGCTACGCGCAAATAAATGGACCGCGACTACGAATTCAATGAACCTGTCAGAATCCGCGGAGCATTTTTGAGTGGTAGTATAAGCGCTGGCCGAAAATAAATTGCATGGCCCATGGATTCACTCACAAGGGATCTTACCATATTAGAAACAGCAGCTATCCTAATCAATTTCCCCAATGTTGCCTTCTGATACCCTTTGGAACTGTGCCATCTTCTTCACTATTCTGCCTACCACCACTTTTGCCACTTGGCGCTACTATTACAGCACGTTCACCAAACTAGCAACCAACTAGCCTAGCTAACTCCCCGTCAAAATCTCGTCCACTTAAAGACCAACCTGATGCCGAAGCCATCCTTGCCGGACGAGTTTACTTGCCCGAAGTACCGTCTCCGGTAAGGGATTGCGGGACAGCGGCAGTGACGTACGCGAACGTTTCGTTCGCAATTTCACAGGTGAATTCTGAAATTCAAGCAGTAAAAATATTCAATTCAAAAAAGAACCTTTCTTAAAATCTTGTACGAACAAATACATGACCCCCAAAAAATCAATAACACACAAGAACCAAAAATTAATCAGACTTGGCAAAATCCTTATTTACCAGTTACGTCTCGAACTTCGAAATCGTAAATATTTCAAACTGATCAATAACCACGAATCGAAACAAATACCTGATGGCTAAATAATGCTATAAATTTCTGAATTCGATGATGTCCCTGAGGCTGATTGTGTGATTGGGCAGATCGTGACGATCGATCAATCGATGACAGTGATCCAAGCGATGAAAGCTCTCTAAAAAACAATCATAATTAGAGAAGAGGCAATCAATATATCGATTAGCATACCGTACCTGCTGTCGTCACGACTGAATGACATCGGATGCTCGGTCTCAGGTAGACTGGTGGACGTGGCCAGCACGTACGACTTTGGTCGTGCACGTCTCATTCTCGTTAATGCTGAGACTGAAAAAGCGGAAGTAGGAAAAATTGTCTGATGACGTCATCGATAACCACAAAATCAATATCTATCATCACAACTCGAGACAATTCTGTAGGCGTTACGGTGGTACGACATTATTATGGATTCATGTAAACTGATCAAATGTACATTCGAGGGATTCCAAGATTCGGGTCCCATGAAATCCCCGCAAACGCAGTCCGGCGGGATGCGGTCGCCCCTACCAGGCACTGAGGCTATGAGGCAATAACTGCAATACTGGACTGACAGATACCTTGAAAGCGGGCCAAAAAAAACCAACAAGGCCAAAAGGAAACCGAAGATGAAGCTGTAAAGCCCTGACCTGCAAAGCAGCAAAAAATCGATGGTCGGTCGATATTGAACAACCAATAATCGAGTACATCAACGTGGCCTTGGTTATGTGACCGCATTGACACTACTGTTATAACAAATTTCGACTACCAACCCCGAATATACATAATCGGATTACGCCATGACGATATCATTTACATAGTATCACACTCTCAACGGATTCGCATTAGTCGCAGGGAACGAGCGCCTAGTTCACAACATATCTTGGACTGCGCCATGCACTCGACCACGTTTGATTTCGTAGACATAATTGATTGATCTCAAACACCACACACAGTTTAGAAAATGACTTACTAACAGTTACTACAGTAGCTATCATCGCTACTAGATATTTTCAAAACAAAATTGAAAATATCGAGTTTTCGGTCAACAAAATGGTAGTCTCGTTAACAGTGAAGAGATCAACTTGTGGCGGCTTCTGCTAAAACACAATTCCTTGGCACTGGGCCAAGGCGTTGGAATAGGACGAAAAACCCTTCCGGATCTTCTGGCGGGTGAGAGTATCCCAACAAGGTCTCCAGCAAGGTTATCCACTCTTCTCATGGACAAGAACCACTCAACCAAGGTTAGGTATACAATGTGCAACGCACTTCATATCAATACAGCCGCCCACTTGAAAACCTTGCAAATTGCAGTGTGCAACAGCAAAACGGCATTGACGGAAATAGACAAAAACTGAAGGAATTAAAATAGCGCAGGACGTATAACTTGAATTAAAGTAAGGTCTTAAATTATCCACTTCTACTGAAATCCATAAAAAATGACGGAATAAAAAATATTCCTCGAAACTGAAAGGCAGTGATCACGATAGCTGGGAGGTGTAACGGTTTCGAGGAGGTCATCAAACCTTGCATTGGTGGGAATGGGCTTGAGAAGCCGGTCTCAACTACAGGCGCTGATGAGAGGGGGGCTACTCATCAACGACACTTGAATGACTCATCATCGCCCCGCCCCCAACCATTGTGATCGGTGCCTTTAAGTCTACCACATATTAGGATCTATTGACAAAATGAGCGCATTACTAATGATTTATCACAATTCCGTAATGTTTTTGTAGACGATCATCAGATCCTTTCCGTTTGTTGACCCTTATCAGTTCACCTGAGTCATGATGGCGCCTCCCGTGAGTTTCCCAGTGCAGCGATGAGTCATTCCAGCGATAACTGATAGGAGTTCTTTGGAAAAGGTAATAGGTGACCAGCTGACAGGTACGTGAGCTCGAACAACCCAGCTCCATTCTTGCTTCATGTCACCCCACAAATCACTCCATCTCACTCTCATCCTACCTATTATCAGCGCGGCTTACCATTAGATGGCTCTCCATTGGTCTCATCGGACTCATTTGCCTGAACACACCTCAACAACAGCTTAAGCACTACATACGGGCGGCGGAATTACTGCGACAATAGCAGTTCGTTACGAGGATACCCTCATGAAATATTTATTGGTGGCCTTTAAAAGGACCGTGCACCAGTTTATGCGGACTCTTTTGCAACGATATCTGGTGGTTAAGCTGATTTCAAATCGCCAACGATTCGACTCAATTCTTTTGCAATGGACAGTATCAGCCCCGAAATGGGAGTTCGCTTGACAGAAAGTCACGGCGATATAGATACAGTTGCCAGACAAACGTCCACTGCATCGTCCCATTCGGCTACTGACTGCAGCAACCTTTCGGAACATTTTCGAACAAGTTACTTCTCATGATTTTCACTTCTAAACAACATTACTCAACTAGGAGATCAGTAAGAATGATCACAGGATGTCGACTGCCAAGCGCTTGTAGTTGGCGATTCCCTGTAGGAAAAGCCCTAGGGCATGCGCCGCGCCCTAACTTCACGGCTTTTTGTCGCTGTAGACTAAATGCGTGAGTGGCGTCGAACAATGAATAAACATTGTGGGCATTTCCATGCTACCGGATGGTATCAAGAACGAGGGCCTCAAAAGAGATCAAAGGTTCAATTATTCGAAAGCGGGACTCGCAGGGGGGGGGTCCTTGCGTTTGTGACTGCCGCACACTTCCTCCTACGTTTGTTGTTATGACTCAGCAATGATTCAATCTGAACATTATTTCTAGTCATTTTCACCGATTTTGGACTACCGCTCATAATATCGTAACCCGTTTCAAAGAATACCCTCTATGAATCATAACTTCAGAAAAGATAATGTGTCATGAAAAAACTTCATGAACATTTTCACAGGGTCTTTACCCCATTTCGACGACATTAAATCAAGCCATAATCATCACAGGGTTTGTGTGAGTGAATGATTGAGAAAACTGGTTAGGAGAAATATGTGAGGACCGCGGGCACCTTCTCACCTCAGGTTCAAAACACGTTGGTGTCCGGTTGGATGGTTGATGATTGCGTGGCGATCTGCAGCGGTAATCGGTAAGTACCTGACGTCTAAAGACTAGGAATTTCTCCAAAGACTTCTTCTCCTGCTTCCAAAAGATCTATCCTTATCTCAGATCATTCATGGGTTGAAAATGAAAACTGATAAGGCAAGAGCACGAGTTTCAAAAACCAAGCTACACAATTCGAAGGCAAAACGCAAGATCCCTAAATTTTCCCTCATCGGACGAAATAGCTCAAAATAAATAAATAAGAAAAAAAAAATAGAAATGGTGTATCAACTTTTGGCAAGCTGTGTAAAGCAAGTGAGCCTTTCAGCCTCCTCTGGGCGCCGACCCATATTCCTAGCTCTTTCGATATATTTCGAACGTCTAGTGGCGTGAGCCTAGGGCGGAGATTGAAAAGTGGATCCAAGACTATTCTGACAGCTGCCGGCCTTACATCGCCGAGGCGGGGCTTCTGTATTGCCCGTTAGGTACAAAAATTCCTGCTTTTCCCAGTGTAAAACGAGAAACCAGGAGAAAAAATCGAATGAAGTAAGCAATAAGCAACGACAAAACAAATCTGTAAATGAGCTCATTCAGCGCCACCTTTCAGGGTGTTTGTCATGGGAACCCGTGACGCACAGAAACAAGTTTCTCATTAACTCTCGGGTTATATATGGATATTGTTACCTGGAAATAGTCGCTAATGATGATTGCTAGTGTAAAGGTTGCAGGTTGCATAACGGAAATGAAGCACTGACACGAGTCAGCGCCTGTCCCTATCCAACCTACGCAAATCGGACAACTCACTAGTTCTAGCTCGACAACAGAGAAAGTAATTATTGGAAAAAAGTGCGTGAAAAAATCACTGACGTTAATAATGTGGTGGGAAAGCATGTTCTGCTGTGGGAAATATACCCAGCATAGGTACGGACGACAGCTTCGCGACAGACCTTGTTGGGGTTGAGATAGCTAACGATCGTATGCTATTCCTTTTGCTTAAAGGCAAGAATCAGGATTACATTGATGGGTTGATTCCACTCAAATGTGAAAGTAGGGATGGGAGGTGGACCGCCAGTGGAGAAAAAAATCCTGAAATACACAGGAAATACGAGCATTTTGCTCTATGCTGTGGAGAAGTTCAAAAGACAGGCAGGGAGATGAGAGATAATGTGAGCGGTAGAGAAGTCCGAGAGAGCATAGCAGATCAACGCAGCGACGCAGACAAGATATCGAACGGTGGGCGGACCATGTTAAGTTTGGTGGAGTCTGTTAGAAGTCCATGGCGCCTAGGGTCCTAGTGACGCGTTTCGATGTAGAAAGGTGGCGCTACCTTTGCACTTGCGTACCCAGCACTTCTAGCCATGGTAAGGGCTTCTTAGGTGGGTCTGAGCCCGAACTTTGCCTTTAATGGAGATTTCAATATGTGGTCCAGGAAAGATGACTGCTAACACCGGTGCTATGCGATTACCCATGGCTAAGGCCTCGTTTTTGCTTGCAAAACTTGTTGTTGAAGCAAAAAATTCCTTGTGATTGAGTAAATTGTGATAACTCGAAGATTGAAATCACTCATGCACATACAGTAACAAATGGATGGAGCGATTCGCCTCTTATGCGCAGGCGCTCTAACGCGAGCTGCCTCAACAAAGTGAGAAATGTGCACAAATAATGCTACCATTTGAGCACACAACTTAAATG